GACTCTGCACGCTCCATGAGCCTGTCGCTGCTGGAGCACGTCACTTTCCCCATTGAAGGATATTCTATTCTATTCTATTCTATTCTATTCTATTCTATCGTACACACATGAACTTTGCGTGAGCATGTATTTATGTTTCTTGCTGATATTTGCTGCTCTGTCTTCGCCCTTCAGAGTCTGCGGATCAGAAAAGTCAAACAGATTTCTAAGAGCAGCAAAGGCGTCTCCAAGGAAACGTCTCCACATGAAGAAGGTGACCTGGAGCCGGCGGCGGCGGCAGGACCGGCGGCGGTGACTCTGAGCTCGGTCTTTCATGTCTCAGCAGAGAGCACAGGTCCTGCAGGCTGCTGAGCCTCCTCCTCCTCCTCGCTGATGGGCAGCAGACTCTGAGCTCCTGATGATCACGCTGACATTTAAATGTGTGTCGGAGCTTCTACGCCTGTCCTGCTGGCTGCTGGAGTTTCCTCCACCCAAACATCCACCCGACCAGCTCCTCCCATCACGGTCACATTCAGCTTTTTGGTTATTCACTCATTTCTGTCCCTGTTCCATTTTTACTTGACTTTGTTTGTAATGGTTGTGTCACTCAGAGACGGTTTCACCTTCAAAGAACAGAAACGTGACCAACGTGAGCGGAAACATGCGTGCGTTGTTAGGGGCGTGGCCTCTTTGTCCTTTGTATCTGTCCATCACAGTCGGGGTCTATGCTGGAAGTCTCCTCCTCTTGAAGGCGACTCTTGCAGCTTTTAGCCAACCCTGGTACAAATCTGACCGGCATCAGACCGGCGACCTGTCCAGGTGTGCCCCGCCTCTCACCCTATGGCCGCTGGCGTAGGCTGACCTGGATAAGTGGAAAATAGATGATGGATGGAGCAAATCTAAAAAAATCCACGGCCAAAACGCTGAGTAATTAAATGAGCCGAGCGTATCAGTAACATGTCGCCTTCACAGCGTTACAAACACGAGGACGGAGGAATAGCAGCTCCTGCTCTGCCACATCGGCTGTGCAGCTGAATAATTTAGTGTTGTGAAGAAGCAGAGACGTGGCCCTGAATGCAGAAGAAGAAGAGACTCGCTGCCTGTCCAGATCACGAGAAGTGCAACGAGCGAGTCACATATCAGAGCGTCTCCAGCGCCCGCAGTTTACTGAGGCGATCGTGGTTACTCAGCCTAACTGTGACATGTTTCAGATCCAAACCTCCATCCATCCAGGTCTCAGGAACTACACCTGACCGAGCGCTCTGACCCTGAGTATTTAATCTCAGCAGTATTGAGTGTCTGCTCTGTGCTTCTTAACGTCTCTGCGTCCTGATCCAGACTTTCACAGGAGCAGACACTCCAGGTAAAACCACGGAGACCCATCATCGCCAAAAACACCAGACACGCTCAAAGGCTGAGGCAGCACACAGACACAAAGCAGGAAGTCTCAAACATCGTGGGTGGAGCAGAGAGTCCACGCCGCTGCTCGCTCTCTCTGTTTCGCAGTACCCTCTGCTTCGCCGAGCTGCGGCTGACTCAGCCTAATAAATTTGTAAACCTCTCACAGCATCAGATAATCTCCTCTGCCTGACGAGCCTCCAATTAGCCCGTGTTCAGGGCCAGATGTGGTGTAAACGCGCCCGCTAATCCTGCTGGCGGTCCCAGCTGAGTCAGACGGAAACCACCCGCGAGGCAGGAATGGTCCACGCCGTGAGATGCAAACTCAACAAATCCCGTCCTTATCAAAAAAACAGAAGGGGGGGGGGTTACAGCACATCACCTGTAAGCAATGAGGGCAGCTCTCTGTATGT